GCGTTATCCTTGAGATATTGTGGACCCTTTACTGTGCATTCAAAATTAAGTGATTTGAACTATGTTGTCAATACGCCCGACAGAAGAAAGAAACAGACAGTGTATCATGTCAACTCACTGAAAAAGTATTATGATAATTGTAACAATTTTCAATCCACAGCTAAAACTACTTTACCTGTATGTTCAAATGTTTCTGATGATGTGATACATGATAAATTGAAACTCCCAAAATTGGTAAATTCTTCCTTTTTAGATAATTTGAATGTCCACCTTATGCATTTGTCCACAGAGGAAAGCCATAGATTGTCTCAGTTATTTGAGACATTTCCCTCTATTTTTGGGGATGTCCCCAAAGAAGCGAAGGTTCCACCTCATGATGTAGACGTTGGTGACGCAAAACCCATTAAACAACACCCCTATAGAGTTAACCCGGAAAAAGCTGCTTTGATAAAAGATGAAATTGACTATATGCTCAAGAATGATATCATTGAGCCCAGTTTCAGCAACTGGAGTTCCCCATGTCTCCTAGTCCCGAAAGACGGTGGATCTTTCAGGTTTGTGACCGACTTTAGGAAGGTGAATGCGCTCACCAAAGCTGATTCCTATCCCTTACCTCGGATAGAGGACGTTATTGATAAAGTTGGTCAGGCTAAGATAATTTCCAAAATTGATTTACTTTAGGATACTGGCAAATCCCCTTATCTGACCGTGCAAAAGAAATATCTGCTTTTGTAACCCCTAATGGTTTTTATAGATACAAACGTATGCCCTTTGGTATGCGAAATGCTGGTCAAACTTTCCAGAGAGTCATTAACTCTGTCATTGCTGACATAGACCAATGTGAGGCCTACATAGATGATATAGTTGTATTTTCTAATACTTTTGAAGAACATATTGTTCAATTGACTAACCTTTTTAGAAAATTGTCTGAAGTTAATTTTACTGTAAACTTACATAAAAGTGATTTCTGTAAAGCTTCAATTACCTATTTGGGTTACCAAGTGGGAACGAACCAAGTTCGGCCCATTGAAGCTAAAGTAGATGCTATTGTAAGGTTACCACCTCCCAAAAATTGTAAAGAGATCAAAAAGTTCCTTGGGATGGCTGGTTACTATAGGCGGTTCTGTCAAAACTTTTCAGCTATTGCTGAACCTCTTACTGCATTATTGAAAAAGGGTGTTGAATTTGAATGGTCAGATAAATGTCAAGAAGCTTTTTTAACCATTAAGTCATTTCTATCTAATGCTCCTGTTATGGCTGCACCAAATTTTAGCATGCCCTTTAAACTTGCCATTGATGCTAGCAACTTAGCCATTGGCTCAGTCCTATTTCAAGAAGACAACATGGGAATTGACCATCCCATTGCCTTTTTTTCCAGGAAGTTAAATGAGAACCAAAAGAATTACTCTACTATTGAAAAAGAAGCTTTAGCTTTGGTTTTATCATTACAACATTTTGAAGTCTATGTCTCTTCTTCAACCAATCCAGTCAGAGTGTTTTCTGACCATGATCCCCTGAAATTTACCTCTAAGTTAGGACAGACAAATCAAAGAATATTGAGATGGTGCTTATATTTCCAAAATTTTAATCTGGAAATTTCACACATTAAGGGTAGTGATAATGTTGTGGCTGATTGTTTGTCAAGGATGTAAAATCTTGTTGTACACATTGATCATGTGACATGCTTTGTGGTTCATTAGGACCATAAACAGGTTTTGTTTGAGTGTCACTCATATGAAAATGAGTGGTGTGAATTTGAATTTTTTTCAAAATTCCAATCCTGTTGAATATTTTGTTTATTTTCAGGTGAACCTTAATTAAAGGTGGTTTTTGATTATATGTAAACTTTTTTTTATAATATGTCTCATATGGCTCCATTGATATTGTAGCTAGTCATTGAAATAAAGGTCTTACCCTGGCAGGTTTACCACTTTTAATATCCACATGGAAATATTGTAATACCCTTTTTTGAGGGATTTTGATGTATAATTACTTTTTGAAGGGTTACTCCCCTTTCACCAATTGTAAAAGTTGGAGTTACTTCCCTTTTATGTTCAGGGATATTTTCATCTGGTATTATGATTTTGATTGCCTACATTTGTAAAACATTTTTGTTATTTCATTGCCAGATTGGTTCCTTATGTATGTTTTTGTGGAACCTATCTGTCACTTCCAAAAAGGGAGGGGATGTGACCTACTTAGGTCGAGTCATTTTTATTTTGACATTGTATATTTCCTTATATGGAATGATTGTGTAACACCTGGGGTTTTTCCATTGACTATTAAGGTGTTTGAGACATAGAAAATTTCCATTAAAATCTGATTGAATGATTCTGATCAGATGATTATCCCAACCAATGGCGACATGAGTTGAGGATAACCTCCCCTGTCACAGAAGTCTTTAATTGCCCCGCAAACTCGCAACACGAGGCAGTTTTTCTTGACCTAAAAGTCTACGAGGCCGTTTTACCTTAGTCAGGCAGCCGTCCATATTGTCCGGCTATAGACTCTGACCATTTGAACGTGAGAGTACTTAAGACCTGTGTGTGCCTTGCTTTCTTCAGTTGATTTAATCTTCTAGTTTAATATTACTTGTCGCTAAGTAAGTCTAGAAGCTACAGCAGTGTTGTGTGGCCTGTAGCTGTTCTTTAGACAGTGTAGAAATCTGTGATAGTGTTTTTTTCCTACATTGTGTAAGTTGGGTTTTTGATATTTTATACATTAAATATTTTATCTAGTTCATCTTTGTGTTTTGCCACAACTGAGTTCGCTGATTAAATGGTCGTATGTAGATTGGATGAGTGTTAATTACAATAGTACCACTAGCTTCCCTAGACATTAATTTCGAGCCCTAGTGGGACGTTGTGTTAAGTGTTCATCCACTTAGGCCGTAAGGCATTTGCATATGACCCCGAAAAAAGAATCCGGGGACGTTCTCCTTCTATTTAGCTGATAGATAGGTTAACGTTACACCGTGCATGTTTCACCAGATGTTGACGAGTGTGATTATGGCTCCTCTATCTGTCCATTGTGTTCTAACCGTGCATGTTTCACCAGATGTTGACGAGTGTGATTATGGCTCCTCTATCTGTCCATTGTGTTCTAACCATGCATGTTTCATTAGATGTTGACGAGTGTGATTATGGCTCCTCTATCTGTCCATTGTGTTCTAACCGTGCATGTTTCACCAGATATTGACGAGTGTGATTATGGCTCCTCTATCTGTCCATTGTGTTCTAACCGTGCATGTTTCACCAGATATTGACGAGTGTGATTATGGCTCCTCTATCTGTCCATTGTGTTCTAACCGTGCATGTTTCACCAGATGTTGACGAGTGTGATTATGGCTCCTCTATCTGTCCATTGTGTTCTAACCGTGCATGTTTCACCAGATGTTGACGAGTGTGATTATGGCTCCTCTATCTGTCCATTGTGTTCTAACCGTGCATGTTTCACCAGATGTTGACGAGTGTGATTATGGCTCCTCTATCTGTCCATTCTGTTCTAACCCTGCATGTTTCACCAGATATTGACGAGTGTGATTATGGCTCCTCTATCTGTCCATTGTGTTCTAACCCTGCATGTTTCACCAGATATTGACGAGTGTGATTATGGCTCCTCTATCTGTCCATTGTGTTCTAACCGTGCATGTTTCACCAGATATTGACGAGTGTGATTATGGCTCCTCTATCTGTCCATTGTGTTCTAACCGTGCATGTTTCACCAGATATTGACGAGTGTGATTATGGCTCCTCTATCTGTCCATTGTGTTCTAACCGTGCATGTTTCATTAGCTGTTGACGAGTGTGATTGTGGCTCCTCTATCTGTCCATTGTGTTCTAACCGTGCATGTTTCACCAGATGTTGACGAGTGTGATTATGGCTCCTCTATCTGTCCATTGTGTTCTAACCGTGCATGTTTCACCAGATGTTGACGAGTGTGATTATGGCTCCTCTATCTGTCCATTGTGTTCTAACCGTGCATGTTTCACCAGATGTTGACGAGTGTGATTATGGCTCCTCTATCTGTCCATTGTGTTCTAACCGTGCATGTTTCACCAGATGTTGACGAGTGTGATTATGGCTCCTCTATCTGTCCATTGTGTTCTAACCGTGCATGTTTCATTAGCTGTTGACGAGTGTGATTATGGCTCCTCTATCTGTCCATTGTGTTCTAACCGTGCATGTTTCATTAGCTGTTGACGAGTGTGATTATGGCTCCTCTATCTGTCCATTGTGTTCTAACCGTGCATGTTTCACCAGATGTTGACGTGTGTGATTATGGCTCCTCTATCTGTCCATTGTGTTCTAAACGTGCATGTTTCACCAGATATTGACGAGTGTGATTATGGCTCCTCTATCTGTCCATTCTGTTCTAACCGTGCATGTTTCACCAGATGTTGACGAGTGTGATTATGGCTCCTCTATCTGTCCATTGTGTTCTAACCCTGCATGTTTCATTAGCTGTTGACGAGTGTGATTATGGCTCCTCTATCTGTCCATTGTGTTCTAACCGTGCATGTTTCACCAGATGTTGACGAGTGTGATTATGGCTCCTCTATCTGTCCATTGTGTTCTAACCGTGCATGTTTCACCAGATGTTGACGAGTGTGATTATGGCTCCTCTATCTGTCCATTGTGTTCTAACCGTGCATGTTTCACCAGATGTTGACGAGTGTGATTATGGCTCCTCTATCTGTCCATTGTGTTCTAACCGTGCATGTTTCACCAGATGTTGACGAGTGTGATTATGGCTCCTCTATCTGTCCATTGTGTTCTAACCGTGCATGTTTCACCAGATGTTGACGAGTGTGATTATGGCTCCTCTATCTGTCCATTGTGTTCTAACCCTGCATGTTTCACCAGATGTTGACGAGTGTGATTATGGCTCCTCTATCTGTCCATTGTGTTCTAACCCTGCATGTTTCACCAGATGTTGACGAGTGTGATTATGGCTCCTCTATCTGTCCATTGTGTTCTAACCGTGCATGTTTCACCAGATGTTGACGAGTGTGATTATGGCTCCTCTATCTGCCCATCTAACTCGCGCTGTGTGAACACCATAGGATCCTTCAAGTGCCAATGTGTTGAAGGACTTCAGTTGGACGGTCATGATGCATGCAGTGGTAATCAAAACAATATTTAACAGCATCATTAATGTAACTGCTATTCGATGTTCGTAACCATTTATCACAAAGAAATAGAAAAAAAAAACCTTTTCGGAATTATGGCAGCTGTTTCTAAAAGGGGGGGGGGGGGGAGAGGATAGTTCCGGCCACACACAGGAAATGTGTAAACAGAAATGTACAGTGGGGTTTATTAACAGCCTTTATTTATTGGTTTTTTTGTGACATTAGCGAGAAACCCTCGTATATACTCCCGACAAAACCACTGATGATAAGTAAGGGGCTTTATATCAGTTTCCCGTGTTTGTTTGTTGTTTTTTGTTTGTTATTTTTTGTTTGGTTTTTGAGTGTCACAGCTTGCACCTGAAAGTTAAATCAGTGATACAGACATGTGTCCATAGTGTCCAGAGAAATCAGTGATACAGACATGTGTCCATAGTGTCCAGAGAAATCAGTGATACAGACATGTGTCCATAGATGTGTCCACAGAAATCAGTGATACAGACATGTGTCCATAGTGTCCAGAGAAATCAGTGATACAGACATGTGTCCATAGATGTGTCCACAGAAATCAGTGATACAGACATGTGTCCATAGTGTCCAGAGAAATCAGTGATACAGACATGTGTCCATAGTGTCCAGAGAAATCAGTGATACAGACATGTGTCCATAGTGTCCAGAGAAATCAGTGATACAGACATGTGTCCATAGATGTGTCCACAGAAATCAGTGATACAGACATGTGTCCATAGTGTCCAGAGAAATCAGTGATACAGACATGTGTCCATAGATGTGTCCAGAGAAATCAGTGATACAGACATGTGTCCATAGATGTGTCCAGAGAAATCAGTGATACAGACATGTGTCCATAGTGTCCAGAGAAATCAGTGATACAGACATGTGTCCATAGATGTGTCCAGAGAAATCAGTGATACAGACATGTGTCCATAGATGTGTCCAGAGAAATCAGTGATACGGACATGTGTCCATAGTGTCCAGAGAAATCAGTGATACAGACATGTGTCCATAGTGTCCAGAGAAATCAGTGATACAGACATGTGTCCATAGTGTCCAGAGAAATCAGTGATACAGACATGTGTCCATAGATGTGTCCAGAGAAATCAGTGATACGGACATGTGTCCATAGTGTCCAGAGAAATCAGTGATACAGACATGTGTCCATAGTGTCCAGAGAAATCAGTGATACAGACATGTGTCCATAGATGTGTCCAGAGAAATCAGTGATACGGACATTTGTCCATAGTGTCCAGAGAAATCAGTGATACAGACATGTGTCCATAGATGTGTCCAGAGAAATCAGTGATACGGACATTTGTCCATAGTGTCCAGAGAAATCAGTGATACAGACATGTGTCCATAGTGTCCAGAGAAATCAGTGATACAGACATGTGTCCATAGTGTCCAGAGAAATCAGTTATACAGACATGTGTCCATAGTGTCCAGAGAAATCAGTGATACAGACATGTGTCCATAGTGTCCAGAGAAATCAGTGATACAGACATGTGTCCATAGATGTGTCCAGAGAAATCAGTGATACAGACATGTGTCCATAGATGTGTCCACAGAAATCAGTGATACAGACATGTGTCCATAGTGTCCAGAGAAATCAGTGATACAGACATGTGTCCATAGTGTCCAGAGAAATCAGTGATACAGACATGTGTCCATAGATGTGTCCAGAGAAATCAGTGATACAGACATGTGTCCATAGATGTGTCCACAGAAATCAGTTATACAGACATGTGTCCATAGTGTCCAGAGAAATCAGTGATACGGACATGTGTCCATAGTGTCCAGAGAAATCAGTGATACAGACATGTGTCCATAGATGTGTCCAGAGAAATCAGTGATACAGACATGTGTCCATAGTGTCCAGAGAAATCAGTGATACAGACATGTGTCCATAGTGTCCAGAGAAATCAGTGATACAGACATGTGTCCATAGTGTCCAGAGAAATCAGTGATACAGACATGTGTCCATAGTGTCCAGAGAAATCAGTGATACAGACATGTGTCCATAGATGTGTCCACAGAAATCAGTGATACAGACATGTGTCCATAGTGTCCAGAGAAATCAGTGATACAGACATGTGTCCATAGATGTGTCCAGAGAAATCAGTGATACAGACATGTGTCCATAGTGTCCAGAGAAATCAGTGATACAGACATGTGTCCATAGATGTGTCCACAGAAATCAGTGATACAGACATGTGTCCATAGTGTCCAGAGAAATCAGTGATACAGACATGTGTCCATAGTGTCCAGAGAAATCAGTGATACAGACATGTGTCCATAGATGTGTCCACAGAAATCAGTGATACAGACATGTGTCCATAGATGTGTCCAGAGAAATCAGTGATACAGACATGTGTCCATAGATGTGTTCAGAGAAATCAGTGATACAGACATGTGTCCATAGATGTGTCCAGAGAAATCAGTGATACAGACATGTGTCCATAGATGTGTCCACAGAAATCAGTGATACAGACATGTGTCCATAGTGTCCAGAGAAATCAGTGATACAGACATGTGTCCATAGATGTGTCCACAGAAATCAGTGATACGGACATGTGTCCATAGATGTGTCCACAGAAATCAGTGATACAGACATGTGTCCATAGTGTCCAGAGAAATCAGTGATACGGACATGTGTCCATAGATGTGTCCAGAGAAATCAGTGATACAGACATGTGTCCATAGTGTCCAGAGAAATCAGTGATACAGACATGTGTCCATAGTGTCCAGAGAAATCAGTGATACAGACATGTGTCCATAGATATGTCCAGAGAAATCAGTGATACGGACATGTGTCCATAAATGTCTATAGTTCAAACACACTTAACGCTCCCTGCCTATACTACTGATTATATATGTTTGTGTGCGTTAATTATATATGTATTAATTGTTCGTTGTTGACATTCAAAATTTTGAATGTGGGGTTCATTGGGTGATATAAAGTTCCCCAATATTCGTCACTAATTCCATTCTTTTGATCGGTAAAGGTCTGACTCATCAATAAAAATAGTTTCGTGATATGCGCAAGAAATTTGAACAGTATTTATGACAAAATCTAGATTAGAAGCTGTATTTAATTTACAAAGAAATTATTTGATTTACGTTTATTTAAAGCTGGAAATTGCAACTCCCTTAAAACTTTAATTTTTTGTTGGTTCCCAGATGTAGACGAATGTCTTTTTAATTATGTTGTTGGTTCCCAGATGTAGACGAATGTCTTTTTAATTGTGTTGTTGGTTCCCAGATGTAGACGAATGTATTTTTAATTATGTTGTTGGTTCCTAGATGTAGACGAATGTCTTTTTAATTATGTTGTTGGTTTTCAGATGTAGACGAATATCTTTTTAATTATGTTGTTGGTTCCTAGATGTAGACGAATGTCAAACGGAAGGCATATGTCAGCAGTCGTGTATCAATGTGCTGGGCTCGTATTTCTGCTCGTGCTCCAGGGGCTATCAGCTGAGAGACGACAAAAGATCGTGTCAAGGTTTGCCGGCTTTTATTTTCTCGTTCATGTTGCCTCTCTAAATAGAATAAAATTTAGTTCGTTCACTCTCGCTAATTAGTTAATGAGATTACTTCACTTGCTAGAATTATGGTTTAGTATTACAGCGTTAACGGGATGACAGAAACATAAAGGTATAAATCTCACGTATGTACTTGTATGTAATGTATACCTAAGTTTGTATATAATCCGTTGAATGACTTATAATCCAGTTTTTATCCAATACTTTCTATGACGCTACTTTTTTTGTCTCCCATCGACTGAACCAAAGAGTCGCAATACAATATGCATTAATGCCGCTATACCCCAATACAAAGACTACATTAATGCCACTATATCCCAATACAAAAACTACATTAATGCCGCTATACCCCAATACAAAGACTACATTAATGCCACTATATCCCAATACAAAGACTACATTAATGCCGATATACCCCAATACAAAGACTACATTAATGCCATTATATCTCAAAACAAAAATACTGCATTGAATATCCCAATGCAAAAACTACATTAATGCCGCTATACCCCAATACAAAGACTACATTAATGCCACTATATATCAATACAAAGACCGCATTAATGCCACTATATCTCAATACAGAAAGACCGCATTAATGCCACTATATCTCAATAGACCGCATTAATGCCACTACAATACAAAAACTGCATTAATGCCACTATATCCCAATACAAAGACCGCATTAATGCCACTATATCCCAATACAAAAACTGCATTAATGCCACTATATCCCAATACAAAGACCGCATTAATGCCACTATATCCCAATACAAAAACTGCATTAATGCCACTTATCTCAAAACAGAAAGACTGCATTAATGCCACTTATCTCAAAACAGAAAGACTGCATTAATGCGGTATAATGAGGAATCTAAAGGTGAAAACTGAAACTAAAATCTCAACATAACAAACAATCAACTTTTACCAAACTAAATATCACTTCATTTTTTTTCTCATTGACTGTGTTAGATATTGACGAATGTACACAGTTTGGTGGACGTGGGGGTCGCACGGGGGTCTGTGGGGGACAGTGCGTCAACTTACCCGGTTCTTTCAAGTGCGAGTGTTCTAATGGCTGGAGACTCAAGTCTGACGCTCGGACATGTGAAGGTATTTTTTTTTTGGGGGGGGGGGGGGGGGGAGGGGGGGGATGAAAGGGTGCTTGGACATGTAAAGGTTAATGTGGGGTGGGGGTGGTTTCTTTGTAATGAATCTACCAAAGATTAAGATGAGTACGCACTTTTTGAACAGACATCAATGAATGCGTGGACAGGACGGCCTATTGTCCTCATGCTGACAGCATCTGTTTCAACACACGAGGCGGCTATAAATGTCCTATTGTCAAATGTCCTGATGGATTTATAAAGACTAATTCAACCGGACAGCAAAACAGGTATTTAAACGACATGATAGCTGTTGAAAAAGTGTACTACACATATGCATTTATCGATGTGGAATTATAGTGCATTGTGTATGATAGTTAAATTATATTTTCTTGCATAACACAATTTTAAGATATGTAGTATATCATATATATATATATATATATATATATGTATATATATATATATATATATATATATATATTAGATTCTAAAATTATTCGTAATCTACACGAACTAACCCTAACACTTACCTTTAACGACAGCATAAGATGTAAGCGAGTCTCTATGGACTGTCCAGAATGCAGGAAGGGTCTCATCTCGCGGACCTACAATTTCTTGTCATTCTCCTCCAACGTGCTAGTTCCTGCTCCTCTGTTTTCGATGACTGGTAGCCGTCTGGTGGACAAATATTACGAGTGGGGGTTCGAGCTGGTGTCAGCCCGGCCACTGAAGGGGGGTCTTCTCCCAGCTGAGGTGGGGGACTTCACGCTGGAGAGTAGCCGGTACAACTCCCGAGTGACCCTCATCAAACGTATCGTCGGCCCCCAGGATGTTGTGCTCAAATTAGCCATGAACGTCACCAGTTATTCTAAGGGATACGAGGGCACAGCCGAGTCAAGAATTTATCTTTATATTACTGAAGACGACGCTAGCAATTGATTGTTTCACACACGGCTATTGACTGCGGATTTCTTCAGCACCTTCCATGTTTTGTTTTTTCCTAAACCTAAACGCTTGGAGCAAGAACCTTGCCAGAGTAAAGTGAACATTTGCATGGGTGAAAGATTGCTACATCAAGTCTCGAGTGCTCCATAGTTTTAACGTTTTGCATGAGGTAAAGAATGCTGCATCAAGACTCTTCCATAATACTAACGTACTTACTGATCTTGTCTTAATGTTAACCAGACTTGTTTTGGATTTTTTTTACCCGATTCCAAGTCATTATTTCTATACTGGTCAAAATTACTATTATCCATGTATTGTTTTTATGTATCTGTGTAAAATCAAATCGGCCCCCATCTGTCGATGTATTGTGTTTATGTGTCTGTGTAAAATCAAATCGGCCCCCCTCTGTCGTTGTATTGTGTTTATGTGTCTGTGTAAAATCAAATCGGCCCCCCTCTGTCGTTGTATTGTGTTTATGTGTCTGTGTAAAATCAAATCGGCCCCCATCTGTCATTGTATTGTGTTTATGTGTCTGTGTAAAATCATATCGGCCCCCATATGTCGTTGTATTGTGTTTATGTGTCTGTGTAAAATCAAATCGGCCCCCATCTGTCGTTGTATTGTGTTTATGTGTCTGTGTAAAATCAAATCGGCCCCATCTGTCGTTGTATTGTGTCTGTGTAAAATCAAATCGGCCCCCATCTGTCGATGTATTGTGTCTGTGTAAAATCAAATCGGCCCCATCTGTCATTGTATTGTGTTTATGTGTCTGTGTAAAATCAAATCGGCCCCATCTGTCGTTGTATTGTGTCTGTGTAAAATCAAATCGGCCCCCATCTGTCGATGTATTGTGTCTGTGTAAAATAAAATCGGCCCCATCTGTCATTGTATTGTGTTTATGTGTCTGTGTAAAATCAAATCGGCCCCCATCTGTCGGTGTATTGTGTTTATGTGTCTGTGTAAAATCAAATCGGCCCCATCTGTCGTTGTATTGTGTCTGTGTAAAATCAAATCGGCCCCCATCTGTCGTTGTGTTGTGTCTGTGTAAAATCAAATCGGCCCCCATCTGTCGGTGTATTGTGTTTATGTGTCTGTGTAAAATCATATCGGCCCCCATCTGTCGTTGTATTGTGTTTATGTGTCTGTGTAAAATCAAATCGGCCCCCATCTGTCGGTGTATTGTGTTTATGTGTCTGTGTAAAATCAAATCGGCCCCATCTGTCGTTGTATTGTGTTTATGTGTCTGTATAAAATCAAATCGGCCCCCATCTGTCGTTGTATTGTGTTTATGTGTCTGTGTAAAATCATATCGGCACCCATCTGTCGTTGTATTGTGTTTATGTGTCTGTGTAAAATGAATTCGGCCCCCATCTGTCGTTGTGTTGTGTCTGTGTAAAATCAAATCGGCCCCCATCTGTCGATGTGTTGTGTCTGTGTAAAATCAAATCGGCCCCCATCTGTCGGTGTATTGTGTTTATGTGTCTGTATAAAATCAAATCGGCCCCCATCTGTCGTTGTATTGTGTTTATGTGTCTGTGTAAAATCATATCGGCACCCATCTGTCGTTGTATTGTGTTTATGTGTCTGTGTAAAATGAATTCGGCCCCCATCTGTCGTTGTGTTGTGTCTGTGTAAAATCAAATCGGCCCCCATCTGTCGATGTATTGTGTTTATGTGTCTGTATAAAATCAAATCGGCCCCCATCTGTCGTTGTATTGTGTTTATGTGTCTGTGTAAAATCATATCGGCACCCATCTGTCGTTGTATTGTGTTTATGTGTCTGTGTAAAATGAATTCGGCCCCCATCTGTCGTTGTATTGTGTCTGAGTAAAATCAAATCTCCCCCATCAGCCCCAGCTATCGTTGTCTAAGTCCATTGATTAATGCATTAATTTCGGTTTGTTTGTTGTCGTTTGTTTTTTGTTTGTTTGTTGTTGTTTTTTTTTTTTTGATAATTTAAAAAAGTAACACATCAAAATTCATTAAATTGTATATTCTGCATGATTTAATCTGACTGCATTGTTTTTATTCATTATATTATTGCATGCAGAATGAACTGACAAAAATTGTCCACGTGGGAAATATTGTGTAGTTTGTTCAGCATTTTTCCTTACAAGTTTTTTCATTCAAGCTTGCTTTTTATATTTCAATAAGATAAATCGTTCTTGGAGTGGACAGAGGCCGTGTCTTTACGTAGTTCGGTCGAGTGACTCATTCATGTGTAGATAGTGTTGATAAATAAGCAGAGGCGTAGCGAGTGCGGGGCGGGGGGTGCGTCCGCACCGGGTGACACCATTTACGGGGGTGACACCAAGGCAAAAAAATGTAAAAAAAAATGTCTTAGTACCAGATCCATTAGTGATTAATTAAAGTTAAATAGACGTTTAAGTACAAATCGACAATTATTACAAGAGGGTGGGGTGTTTTTTCTTGTGGGGGGTGGCAACCGACCTAGCGACGCCACTGTATATAAGTAAGTAATAAGCCCATTCCAGTCTCTACGGCTATGTAACAAAAGTAAAACCGGACAAAAGCAAAAAACTTCAGGGATACGTAAACAAGTCATTAGGCTGATCTTGAAATACGTAGGCCAGACAGTTGAGATGTAAGCCTCTATGAGGTATGTAGACACTCTGGGTAAGGTCAGGGCCGGCGTATGACGTCACGGATCGTTCAGTATGTAAACATCCGCCATCGCGGTGTACAGGTCCCCATTCAAAATGGCCTCCTGTGCTGTGGAAGGTTGTGATACTCGAAGTGGCAGATCTAAAGGGATTCTTTTATTTCGACTGCCAAGGGTTATATTAAAAAAAAGGTGATAGAGAACGGCAATCAACAGAACGTAGGCGCTGTCAATTTTTTAGCCAATAGGCCTATTATCAAAGCGGTGTGAGTGAAGCAGCGGCAAATAAAGGTAAGGACAGTAAACAATAAACTTCATTTAATTAACAAAGCAACTGTAAATAAAACAAATATGTTCGGCCTTAATAAATATTAATAGCAATTGAACAAAGTAATAATAAAATTTAATTGGAATATTTATTTAATATTTAGATCTGGAATCCAGCTCTAAAGCTAATCATGTTGTAAACAAATCCAGTACAAATACTTACGAATTTTGTCCGCGAAAAAAGCGACCCCCCCTCCCTCACCCACACACAGTCCTCCCAACCATCTTGGACAAAGTTTGTAGAGCGGTTTTTAACGTAACTTTTGTTTTTAATGTTACACAGTCGTACAATGCACTTTAGGACAATTAATTTATTTCTAAGTGCTAATGGTTTGGCCCTGTGCTGTATATTTTTGCACCCACAACTGCTTGCTCACAGGGGGACGGGGGATATAAGACAAAAGGCCAACCACTAAAGGATGTCAATGATGGGATATCTGTGAATGTTGTAACGGTTAGGTGGGATATCTGTGAATGTTGTAACAGCCAGGTGTCAGATCTGTGAATGTTGTAACGGTTAGGTGGGATATCTGTGAATGTTGTAACGGTTAGGTGGGATATCTGTGAATGTTGTGACGGTTAGGTGGGATATCTGTGATTGTTGTAACGGTTAGGTGGGATATCTGTGAATGTTGTAACGGTTAGGTGGGATATCTGTGAATGTTGTAACGGTTAGGTGGGATATCTGTGAGTGTTGTAACGGTTAGGTGGGATATCTGTGATTGTTGTAACGGTTAGGTGGGATATCTGTGAATGTTGTAACGGTTAGGTGGGATATCTGTGAATGTTGTGACGGTTAGGTGGGATATCTGTGAATGTTGTAACGGTTAGGTAGGATATCTGTGAATGTTGTAACGGTTAGGTGGGATATCTGTGAATGTTGTGACGGTTAGGTGGGATATCTGAATGTTGTAACGGCTAGGTGGGATATCTGAATGTTGTAACGGTTAGGTGGGATATCTGTGAATGTTGTAACGGTTAGGTGGGATATCTGTGAATGTTGTAACAGCCAGGTGTCAGATCTGTGAATGTTGTAACGGTTAGGTGGGATATCTGTGAATGTTGTAACGGTTAGGTGGGATATATGTGAATGTTGTAACGGTTAGGTGGGATATCTGTGAATGTTGTAACGGTTAGGTGGGATATCTGTGAATGTTGTAACGGTTAGGTGGGATATCTGTGAATGTTGTAACGGTTAGGTGGGATATCTGTGAATGTTGTAACAGCCAGGTGTCAGATCTGTGAATGTTGTAACGGTTAGGTGGGATATCTGTGAATATTGTAACAGCCAGGTGTGAGATCTCTGAATGTTGTAACGGTTAGGTGGGATATCTGTGAATGTTGTAACGGTTAGGTGGGATATCTGTGAATGTTGTAACAGCCAGGTGTCAGATCTGTGAATGTTGTAACGGTTAGGTGGGATATCTGTGAATGTTGTAACGGTTAGGTGGGATATCTGTGAATGTTGTGACGGTTAGGTGGGATATCTGTGAATGTTGTAACGGTTAGGTGGGATATCTGTGAATGTTGTAACAGCCAGGTGTCAGATCTGTGAATGTTGTAACGGTTAGGTGGGATATCTGTGAATGTTGTAACGGTTAGGTGGGATATCTGTGAATGTTGTAACGGTTAGGTGGGATATCTGTGAATGTTGTAACGGTTAGGTGGGATATCTGTGAGTGTTGTAACGGTTAGGTGGGATATCTGTGAATGTTGTAACGGTTAGGTGGGATATCTGTGAATGTTGTAACAGCCAGGTGTCAGATCTGTGAATGTTGTAACGGTTAGGTGGGATATCTGTGAATGTTGTAACGGTTAGGTGGGACATCTGTGAATGTTGTAACGGTTAGGTGGGATATCTGTGAATGTTGTAACAGCCAGGTGTCAGATCTGTGAATGTTGTAACGGTTAGGTGGGATATCTGTGAATATTGTAACGGTTAGGTGGGATATCTGTGAATGTTGTAACAGCCAGGTGGGATATATGTGAATGTTGTAACGGTTAGGTGGGATATCTGTGAATGTTGTAACGGTTAGGTGGGATATCTGTGAATGTTGTAACGGTTAGGTGGGATATCTGTGAATGTTGTAACGGTTAGGTGGGATATCTGAATGTTGTAACGGCTAGGTGGGATATCTGTGAATGTTGTAACGGCTAGGTGGGATATCTGTGAATGTTGTAACCGTTAGGTGGGATATATGTGAATGTTGTAACGGTTAGGTGGGATATCTGAATGTTGTAACGGCTAGGTGGGATATCTGTGAATGTTGTAACGGCTAGGTGGGATATCTGTGAATGTTGTAACGGCTAGGTGGGATATCTGAATGTTGTAACGGCTAGGTGGGATATCTGTGAATGTTGTAACGGCTAGGTGGGATATCTGTGAATGTTGTAACGGCTAGGTGGGATATCTGAATGTTGTAACGGTTAGGTGGGATATCTGTGAATGTTGTAACGGCTAGGTGGGATATCTGAATGTTGTAACGGTTAGGTGGGATATCTGTGAATGTTGTAACGGTTAGGTGGGATATCTGTGAATGTTGTAACGGTTAGGTGGGATATCTGTGAATGTTGTAACGGTTAGGTGGGATATCTGTGAATGTTGTAACGGTTAGGTGGGATATCTGTGAATGTTGTAACGGTTAGGTGGGATATCTGTGAATGTTGTAACAGCCAGGTGTCAGATCTGTGAATGTTGTAACGGTTAGGTGGGATATCTGTGAATGTTGTAACGGTTAGGTGGGATATCTGTGAATATTGTAACGGTTAGGTGGGATATCTGTGAATGTTGTAACAGCCAGGTGGGATATATGTGAATGTTGTAACGGTTAGGTGGGATATCTGTGAATGTTGTAACGGTTAGGTGGGATATCTGTGAATGTTGTAACGGTTAGGTGGGATATCTGTGAATGTTGTAACGGTTAGGTGGGATATCTGAATGTTGTAACGGCTAGGTGGGATATCTGTGAATGTTGTAACGGCTAGGTGGGATATCTGTGAATGTTGTAACCGTTAGGTGGGATATATGTGAATGTTGTAACGGTTAGGTGGGATATCTGAATGTTGTAACGGCTAGGTGGGATATCTGTGAATGTTGTAACGGCTAGGTGGGATATCTGTGAATGTTGTAACGGCTAGGTGGGATATCTGAATGTTGTAACGGCTAGGTGGGATATCTGTGAATGTTGTAACGGCTAGGTGGGATATCTGTGAATGTTGTAACGGCTAGGTGGGATATCTGAATGTTGTAACGGTTAGGTGGGATATCTGTGAATGTTGTAACGGCTAGGTGGGATATCTGAATGTTGTAACGGTTAGGTGGGATATCTGTGAATGTTGTAACGGTTAGGTGGGATATCTGTGAATGTTGTAACGGTTAGGTGGGATATCTGTGAATGTTGTAACGGTTAGGTGGGATATCTGTGAATGTTGTAACGGTTAGGTGGGATATCTGTGAATGTTGTAACGGTTAGGTGGGATATCTGTGAATGTTGTAACAGCCAGGTGTCAGATCTGTGAATGTTGTAACGGTTAGGTGGGATATCTGTGAATGTTGTAACGGTTAGGTGGGATATCTGTGAATGTTGTGACGGTTAGGTGGGATATCTGTGAATGTTGTAACGGTTAGGTGGGATATCTGTGAATGTTGTAACAGCCAGGTGTCAGATCTGTGAATGTTGTAACGGTTAGGTGGGATATCTGTGAATGTTGTAACGGTTAGGTGGGATATCTGTGAATGTTGTAACGGTTAGGTGGGATATCTGTGAATGTTGTAACGGTTAGGTGGGATATCTGTGAGTGTTGTAACGGTTAGGTGGGATATCTGTGAATGTTGTAACGGTTAGGTGGGATATCTGTGAATGTTGTAACAGCCAGGTGTCAGATCTGTGAATGTTGTAACGGTTAGGTGGGATATCTGTGAATGTTGTAACGGTTAGGTGGGACATCTGTGAATGTTGTAACGGTTAGGTGGGATATCTGTGAATGTTGTAACAGCCAGGTGTCAGATCTGTGAATGTTGTAACGGTTAGGTGGGATATCTGTGAATATTGTAACGGT